TCCCCGAAAATCCTTGATAATAAAAAGTGGATTTTATTTAGCTTTTTTCCACGGACCACCTGCAGTACACTCGTCCGCGGACCACAGTTTGAGAACCGCTGAATCCATTGCTGTTGTTCTGCGATGCAGAGGACATATGCTTTTGGTTGTTAAGCATGAGGGAAATAAACGACACCTTGTTTTTATGTCAACTTCTTGGAAATTGTGTTTCCTTTTGCATCTTTATATACTCTATGCATCTGCATGCACATGTATGAGAGGATATTTGTGTGCAGATGCTGCCTGAGCTGCGGAGGTACATCCAGCACATCAGCCTATCACCAGACTCCATCAACAATGACGACGTAAGGGCTAGCACAGCTTCCTTTCAGCATCCATTCTTGTATCAGTGATTATTGCAGGCCAATCACAAATGTAATGTATGTTAATCTGCCATTCTTTCAGGCTGTGTCCCCTCTTATGAAGTACTTACAAGACACTATGGTCATCCTCACTGAAAACCTTGTAAAGGAGAATCTGACTAGGTAATGATTTTCATATTCTCGTTCCCTCACTATGAATATGACTTCACTCATTGTTCAGTTTGACAGGGACAATGCAGATACATTCGAGAGAATCACAAGAAAACATTCAGTACACCATTTTGAAACTCAAAAAAAGCCGTTACAACTGTTACGGCCACTATTGCACCACAGGTAGTCATTTTTTACTTTATGATTGAAGCATGATTTGAAGAACCAGCATCAAATGTGCACCACTTCAACATGCATTTTGCATATAAATAAAACACTGCGTCATCAACATAAATTTGACTTGCAAACTAGAACAAATGCCAGCATGCCCAACACTGGCACTTTTGACAGATGTTTTATTAATGTCTAGATGAATAACCGTGCTCTTCTGTAATAAGATTACAAATGTTTAATAGAACCAGAGTGAAAACTGTGACAGCTCAGCAAATAAGACGCTGCGATTAATAATTGTGAAAATATACATAAGGCTATATGAGAGTTCTAGAGTGCTATTGAGTAACGCTCATGTGTATAAGAGTCATTGTGTCTGATGCCCCTCAGAGTTCTCCAAAGCCTGTGGGAACTCCTCCTGAGGATGATCCTGGACGCGGTGGCAGAAAACAGAGGCATTCAGGTGGAGTTCTACAACCGCTTCCAGTACACAGTGGAGGTCAGTAATACACAAAGCTCTTTTATAACTATTTTTAACAGACAGTCATCACTACAGTTACCACCACCTTTGAATAAGCTCTCTATGCTTTGTATCGTACAAATATTAGCATACATGTAAATAAGATATTTATGAAGTCTGTTGTTAAGCAGTAAAGTGAGTTCCCTCATGAATGACAACGTGGAAGCTATTGTATATTCTAATGCCAAAATTAAGCAGCTGGCAGTGGACGAGACAGATTTGCATTCAAATGCATGGCTTGCTACACGACAGGGCTAGAGTTTTATTGTGTTTTATGCTGTGTGTGCGTGAGCAACTATGTCTATCAAAAATCAAAGAGATATATGCGCAATAAGTCCTGGCTCACACATTTTATTTCTCTTCAATTGAATGATTTAGACCCTGTTGGAGTTCATGCATGCCAAGGGAGAGGGTCTTACACTGGATGACATGAAGAGTGGAGAATACAAGGTAGGCTCTATTTTTTTTAAACATTTATACCCTAACTTAAATGTTTATTAATCCTTTTACTGTTTTTATCATGCTGTTTTAGGCCCTGGATGAGGAGCTTAAGATGAATAAATGTTCCTCCTTCGAGCTGATTGAACAGTACTATCTGGAGAAGATTTCCCTACAGGTGTGTTTCCACTTTCCAGACTGACACTTTAATTTTAGCCCTGAGGTGCACAGGGGCGTATTGATTGGACAGAAAACCCCTCTGTGTTCTGTTGTTTTACCTCTGATTGAAAGTCTCCCTTCTCCTGGACTGTCGAAAAACAAGATGCTGTCAGGCGGTGCAAGTACACTGATGTGCTTTGATTAATTCTTTCTGCTTATTTCTGCTTTTGGCAACTTAAAATGTGTTCACAACATATTTTAATATAAGTTACTTTCACTTCAGCTTTGCGTGCTTTCTAATAATCCTCTTTGTTAAAAAAATCTTTCAGAAAACACTTAAACATACCCGTTTTGGTCGGATCAGTATGAAGTGTTACTATGACGCTCCGGAGCAGAGACTGACGGTGGAGATTCTGCACGCTGCGGATATTATTGCACTAGATGCTAACGGTAAAATGTCAAATATACAGATAAAAATACAGGTTGCTGCTTAAAAATGTAGTTTTTATTAACTTGTTTCTCATCTTCCTCAGGTCTGAGTGACCCATTTGTCATAGTGGAGGTCTGTCCTCACCACCTGTTCCCTATGGCCAAGAGTCAGCGCACGCAAGTGAAACTGAAGACCCTGCACCCAGTATTCGACGAACTGTTTTACTTGTGAGTTTCCCTTTCTTTATCCCCCTATTGGTTAACTGGCCCTGAGCCTAACTTGAGTTTTCTCTTCCAGTCACGTCAGTCCGGAACAGTACAGACACAGGTTTGCCTGTTTGACGTTCACCGTGATGGACTACGACTGGCTTTCCACCAACGATTTCGCCGGAGAAGCCGTGGCTCCTCTCAGCGACTTCTGCTGGCCGGGGAGACCAAACGCTTCAGCCGCCGGCAAGAGCGTCCAGCCTGCCATTCTCCATCTGTCTCGCAGTAAACCCAGCGGTACATACAGCTCTTTGTTTTACACTAACATTATATTGGCTACTTGGGAGACCAGAGGGTGTAGGCCATGGGTTTCCAATTACTTCTCCAATACAAAATGAAAAGCCATTCAATCTAGAGATATTTGTGTCAGCTGTCGGAATTACTCTCATCTGTTTGCTCTACCCCTCCAGAAAAGCCAATCATGAGGATGCTGGACGCTCGCATCGGAGACAGGGAGGCTCAGGAGTTTGTCCGCAGGCTGAAGGAGATTGAGAAGTCAATGGAGGAGGAGTAAGAGCTGTCAGCCAGTGCTGCCTGTGTTGGTGTTTTCTGACCACGTCTTGCGACAATGTGCTTTTGTACCGGTACGATGTTTACGATATTTACATTTTTTTCCAATGTTATCGTTTGTTCAGTAATTATACCAAAATGAAAAGAGAAAAAAGGGGAATCAGTGAAGCCTATTGCTGTTTTTCTCACTGGGAGATGAACATCCTGTCACTGTGCAACCTTATGCTGTCTCACTTAAACAATATTTTAGAATTCAATGGATAGTTGATCCTAAACGTTACTAGTCTATATTTTTTTGTATTGAGGTAATCGTTATCTTGTCGTAGGATCTTTGATATGATAGATTTAACATTTCAGAACTATTTTGTGGGAGTAGCTTATGCATCCTATGGTATTTCAAGTCTAAATCTATACCTCAGATATGCACATTAGTTGCAGGGGAGTTTAATAGAGACTTTTAATCTTCCATGGAAATTGTGAAGATCAATTGCATAAAAGCCTATGTAGGATGTGAAAGCTTGAAGCCACATCGATTTTCCTGATCAAATTGTGGCTTACTAAGAAACAGCTATGAATAAAAATATCTCTGTCATGAGGGAAATCATGAAGACACATGAAAGCTTTGGGGGATTGCCCTTTGTGAGAGTTGGTGTTGTAAGGTCAGAGAGCCCAGCAGCATGGGGCATAACTGTCCCCTCAGGCACTCGAGTGTATTCCACTTTTCAGATTGCTCCTGACAAAACAAATTATCGTATGTAAAGAGGCCAAAAAACAATTATCTTAACTTAGATTTGTCTTGCTGTCCATCACCAATGAGATAACGTACCTGGATTAAGTTATGTGATGTGTGTGATCGCAACACTGCGCTAATCTAAGTTGTACAAATCAGCACATTGACAGAAACCAGTGATCAGTCATCTGTCATTTGAACAATGATCAGGTTCATTAAGAGAACTGGTATCCCAATGAGGAAGTCACTTATCAAATCAAATCAAGTTTTATTTATATAGCACATTTAAAAGCGATTTTTGGTCGAGCCGAAGTGCTGTACATGTAATAATAACACATTACTACAATCACAATAAAAGACAATAATTTACAACAGAAATATAAAAAAACAAAAACACAGGGAATAGTCAGGTGTCATACTCCGCTCTGACTAGAAGGCCAGGGAGAAGAAGTGAGTCTTTAGTGAGGATTTAAAAACCCCTAAGCCTCATCCCAATACCCCTCCTCGACTCCTCTCTTCCCCTCCTCCGGGACTTGACCCGGAAATCGATCAAGACACGCCATTTTGAAGGACGTCCCAATAGCTGAAATGCACACGGAGGAGTCGAGGAGGGGTGAGGGAGGAGGGGTGCGGGAGGAGACGAAAGGGAGGATACACGCGAGCAGACTACGCGATAGTGTTTTCACTACTCGCACATAAAAGCCCCGCCCCCACCTTCACAGCTGGTCGATTTCAACAGAGGAAAACCGAACTGGAAGATGAGTGGAAAAGCGTCACATAAATGTATAAGTGCTCACAGCTCCGTGGGAATTATTATGTGCAATTCATTTCTAAAAGGCTTCACATTACTATAATTATATTTTTATTTAAATGTAGGCTACGCCAAAACGGAACAGAAAAGCAGGACCAACCATCATACATTAAATTCCTTGACTAACAAGAGAAAGAACCATTCATTTAAATAAATATTTAACCAGAAATGGGCCGGTTCTAAAGGGTTATTCAGTTAAGCCTGATGAGAGGGGATACAGCTGTGCACATGTCATCATTAACAGACGTCGTTTAAGAGTGACGTTTGAGTGAACGAGGACATCCCAATTAATACCTGAGGACTCCTCTGTCCTCGCGTCACCTCCTCGTGTCTCTCGCTCGCATCTTACGGAGGCGGAGCTAAGATGCAAGGAAGGGACGTGGAGGAGGGAAAGGAGGAGTCGAGGAGGGGTATTGTGATGAGGCTCTAGTGTCTGGGCCTTAGTTGTGTACACCCTCATTCAATCTGAGTCTTTGTTTTCTAATTTGCAGTTTATATACTACAAATCCATATGAAAGAGGCTGAACCTTAATTAAGTGTTGCAGGATCAGAATGAAGTACTGAACTTGTTTGGGAGTCGTCCACCTCGAGTCATGTGTGTACAGTTTAATTGAAGCGGGCGCCAGATTCTGATTAGCTTAGTTTAGCAAAAGGACTGACATAGTGATCCTTTTAGCCAGAACCTAGCTTAGCCGCCCAGAATGGTATTGAAAAGTTACAATTAGGGAGCTAGACCGCAGACTCAGTGACAAAACCAAGTCAAGTATAATGCTGCACATAACCTCCATAAAACCAATCTTTGTTCATTTATAATTCAGTGTTTGTTTAGCTTAAACTCCTAGCGAGAAAATGTCTACAGCTAACTTTAAAATCATTACAAATAAGTTCAATGTTGTATTTAAGGTTTCAGGTTCGAATTATCTTTATTATGTTCTCCTTCAGGGAGCAGTAGCTATATTCAGAACAATTCAAAGTGTCATATTTATGGGGAGTCACCCTGGCGTCCCCAAAGAGTCAACCCAGTCTCACAGCATTTCATGTTATAGTCACGAC